GACTGGGGGAAGTGGGCCGACGAGAGGCGCACCTCGACCCCCCATGACTTGAGGAAATCTGTCATCTCAAGGCTGGCAAGGTTGGTACCTCCATCTGTGGAGATCTGCTCAGGTACCCCCCACCTCGTGAAGTAGGCCCGCAGACTGGCGATGATTTTTCCAGAGGTGGCCTCGTTGGGGAAGTGGGCGATCTCCAGCCAACCTGTCAGTCGGTCAGCATATGCTAGGTACGTGCGGCCCTGCAGGTGGAACAAATCGGCCACCACTTGTTGAAAGGGATAGTCTGGCGCTGGGGTCAGAACCAACGACTCCGGAGGCTGGGAAGGGGCGTGGGTCTCGCAAGCAGCACACCGGGACCGATGATACTGCAGGTCACCCTCCATGCCAGGCCAATAGACAGACTGCCGGGCCCGCCTGAGCATTGAGTCGAGGCCCTGGTGCCCCACATGCAGGTTAACGGCGACCCGGTGGCGGAGGGAGTCGGGGATGACAAGGCGCACGCAGCCCTGGTCAAAGGTGTAGGTGACCAAACCCCTGACCACAGCCAACCTGTCCCTCACCGAGAAGTACGGGCGCAGACAGGCCACCTCCTGTGACTTGTGGGGGTGCCAGTCGCCCGCCAGCACCCTCGACACTAGAATCTGGTACACTGGGTCGTCCGCAGCCGCTTTGCACACTGTGTCTTCGTCCATAGTGATGCACCCATCCTGATCCAGTGCTGCGATTGTGACTGCACACACTGCAGCGCACAGGTCCTCCTCTTGGTCCATGTCCTCCGCATCAGGCGCCGCCCTGAGGGAGGGGAAGCGGGATAGGGCGTCAGCTGCACAGTTCCGCTTCCCTGGCAAGTATTTGACCGTGAATCGGTATTGCAGGGTCTTCTCCTTGAGCCTGAACAGGCGCGGATTCGCCACATCCGTGAAGGCTCTGTCCCCTAGCAAGCCAACTAAGGGGCGGTGGTCCGTCACCAGAATGAGGTTCGGGCAGCCAAGGAGGAACAGCCTGGCCTTGCGCAGGCACCACACCACAGCCAGGGCCTCCCCTTCTACTGCAGCATAACCGGCCTCGGCCGTGCTCAGATGTCGGCTACCACACAGAGCCAACCGCCACCCTCCTCTGCAGCAGAAGGGCGTCTCTGGAGAGGCACAGGCACAGTATTGTTGCAGGACGACGAAGCCGATGCCCTCCCTGCTCCAATCAGTGACAGCTGCCGTAGGCCTGGATTTGTCATAGTACACCAAGCCGTCTCTGGCCAACTGACAGATGGTGTCCTGGGCCTGGCGAAACTTGAGCCGCAGCTGGTCGTCCCAATACACCTGCTTGCCCACTGGCTTCTTGAGGAGCTCACGGAAGGGCTCCATCACAGGTGCAGTGGCAAGGAAGGGAGCCAACTGATTAACCAGGCCATGCCAGGACCTGATGTCAGTGATTGATGGCTGATCCGGCATGGGGAAGTCCTTGATGGCTGACAGACGTTGGGCAGTGGGCTGGTACAGGTCCCACCCCAGGAGGAAACCCACAAACTCAGCTTCTCTCCTGCAGAACAAGAACTTTTCTGGTTTCAGCGTGATACCTGTGCGAGCGCAGGTCTCCAGAAAATCGTAAGTGTGCCAGAACGCCCCCTTCACACTGGAGTCATAGAGGAGAGTGTCATCCACGCACTTGTACTTGCGGGGCACATCCTGAATAGCGTCGTCAAACCTCTTGGTGTAAGCATCTGACGCTGAGCAATGTCCCATGGGCGTCCTGCAGTATCGAAAACGTCCCCACGGCGTGATGAATGTGGTCAGGCGTCTACTCTCCTCCTCCAACTCCACTTGATGAAATCCCCAAAAGGCGTCGGCGACGGTTTTGAACGAGTGCACTGGCACCCCAGACACCATGTCGAATGGTGCAGGTGTGTGGTGCGTCTCCCTCAGACAGCTTGCATTGAGGCGTTGGAAGTCCACAGTGCGCCTGGGCTGACCGTTTTTCTTGGCCACCACGACCATCCTGGCGCACCACTCCGTAGCCTCACCAGCAGGCACTGGCTGGATGACGCCTCTCCTGACGTCCTCCTCCAACTGGGCCTTCACCTCCGCTTCCCAGTGTTTCGGAACGGGAGCGGGTGTGTGACAGGCATAGGGGGTCGTGCCGGGCGTCAGGTGGATACGGTGAGGGGGACCAGTCATGACTGGCAGTGGGGACCTGCTGGTGTTGAATGCGGTAGACGAAAAGTGCGTGAGTAGCCATGCCTCCAGCCTGGCCACATTCTCCTCCAAAGGAGGCAAGGGTATCTCAACTGGCCTCGGCGGGAAACGGCTGCTCTCAGGTAAACGGTTCGGAGGTAGATCGTCGGCAGTGTGCCGCTCCCCTCCATCGCCCACGGCAGCCACAGCACGTCTATGGAGCGGGAAGTCGACAGGCACCAAGTTGAGGCACTTGCAGGCCTCCAATGACAGATAGAGGGCCTTGGCTGTCTGCACGAAGTAGACCTCCTGGACGGTGGACCCCTCGTCCACACCGAGGCGGCAGGGGGCGGACCCCAGACACTTGAGCTGTTTGTTCGCCACGTCCCTTAAGCCATTACGGGCCCGAAGTTGCCCCGGACACAAACCGATGTCCCGGAGCAGGGATGCGCCTGCCACACACACCATAGCACCCGTGTCGGCTACAGCCAGCACAGGGGTGGCGGGGGAATTGCCCCCGGCCTGGGACACGAACACTTGTAACCTGGGGTGGCGGGATAGCTGGGCTGTTGCCACTGTAACAGCGCCTGACACATCCACAGGAGCACTTAGGGCTGACTTACTCCTACAACACCTTTTGAAGTGACCAACCTTACCGCAATTGCGACATGTAGCCCCACTTGCAGGGCAGTTACTTTTACCAGGGGCATGTGACACGCCGCAATTACCACAGTGCCCTCGACTGGGGTGTGGAGGTCGGGCGGCAGCTACCTCAGGCTCACCGGTGACGTCATCACCACCCGCCACTGCCTCCGCAACTGTTCCCACCACTGCCTGGCCAGACGTACGACACAATACACCAGCATCTCTCACTGCTGCCTCAAATAACATGCATTTGTTTCTAAGCACTTCAACACTATTATAACTAGAGTACCCCTGGAAAATTTCCCTTTTCAACACTGGGTTACTCAGGCCCACCATAACTTTACGTAATAGCATGTACTCAGAGAGGTCGTTATCACAGGTGGGACATTTAAATTCACACTCCACTGCTTCTGAGAAGCATCGTTGAAAATACCTTTTCATGGGCTCCTCTTCACCTTGTTTGCTGTTGAAAAACTCGTTCCATTTCACAGCTTGGTTTGAAGATTGAAGAACCATTCCACTGATGGCGTCCAGGGCTTCTTTGGGCGAGAGCTGCTCCCACTGACCGCTGGGGTATCTCGAGTCAATCACTCTTTGGAGTGCGGGGACGCAGTTCAGGCGAATGTGGAGTGTGGCCACCAGCTGTGGCCACCCGTTCAGCAGCACCCATGACTCCATGGACCGCCTCCATGTCCTAAACGCAGCTGCTGGCATTTCTGCCTCACACTTCTCTGGAGCGACAGCTGCTGAGGGCTTCATGACCGGCATAGAAGCATGACCACCGCCAGCACCTAGAGACGCCATCTGAGCCATCAATGCACTCATGGCCTGCTGCTGGGCACGCGTGGTGTTCCCGGCCGGTGTAGAGAAGCCCTGGCGTCCCCTTGAGGGCGTCGAGAATCGTGGACGTGTAGGGGCCATGTCAGCGTTCTTGTCAGGGCTGTAATGGCGTGTCGGGCCCCGACATCTCCTACTCACTGTGCGCCATGTGAGAGGTTGGAGTCATAGACCATGTTTTCTATAGACTTTATTATAACAGCGTCAGCTGGACACTGGCCATCAGGCGCTGCCAAGGACATGGGAAAACATATCGTACGATGGTACACTCTTACAGTACGGAACATTTGTGTATTTATCATCACTTAATAAATAATACTGCAGTGTATTTATCACCACTCAATAAATACTATTGTACAGAGTAGTGTATTTATCATCACTTAATAAGTAATTCTGAAGTGTAAAGTATTATGCATCTGCATATACCCTGGTTTATTCATTAATCATTTGTCTAAGTGTACAAGTAGCCAAACTGAGTCATCATACAACACTCAACGGTAGTAAATAGCATTTTTAAGGAGGTACCTTCATATCAAATACTATGCAGTGTGTTATAGTGATCCGTGTTGTAAGCTGGTCTACTGAAAGCTGTCACACCAACACATCTTGAGTAAACAACCTTGTGATACTGTTTTGTTTATCCTTTTATTTTCAAGTCATATTACAAATTACATACAGTATTGTATTTTTTCTATTACTGAAGATATTATATTAATCATGATGAACTATAAACCATCACATGCTAATCATATGAGAATATAATATTGAATCAATCAATAAATTAACCTGAAGAATGCGGTAACACCTTATCAGCCCCAGGGCATCTCAGAGTCCGAAAAAAGAAAAAACGAATTCCGATATATTGAAGTTCGATTTCTCGAGGTTTTACTGTACTTCCACTATACAAATTCCAGGAATTGTCTAAAAAATCAATTTAATAAACATTTTTGCTGTATTTTAGACTGTTTGGTTTCTTTCAACTGGCTTCAGATGGCAGGAAATGCTGGCACAGACAGTCTAAATTCAAAAAATTTCCAGGAGGAGCATGCCCCTGGACCCCGCCCCCCAACATTCTCGCCTTTGGTGCTCGTGGTTCTATAGAACTCTGGGCTAAGCCCCCAATGTCCTGAAGGTCTAGCAACGGCTATGAAGGTTGGCATTGGTAAATCTTTCAACTCTCTCTTGAGATTCCAGAGGCCATAAAAAGTACTGTACAGTACACGAATATATTGCATTTATAAACTTCTCTCAAGGGTATATTGTACTGCAAGTGGCCCAAACTTGCTTAAAAGCATTAAAATGAAAGGCAAGAATTGTCATAATCAAAAACATACAAAAATAATCACAAACCTGAATAGCAGGATAAGTCTTGTTTTCAGTTGTGCTTCTGACCCCTGGTATAGAGCCAGCAGACCGGCCTTCACAGATATACCTAAAGCGTAAGGCTTTCGGTTGTGGCTGTTCCAAAATGCGGACCTGTGTTGATACAAAATGTATAGGTATGTGTCATAACTTAGTTACATTTGTTCTTATAGTACAGTACAGTACAATAATTTAAACAACATGCACTACAAAACTATTTCAAGTTACTAATGGTAAAAGGTGAATACAGTACAGAAATAACAAGACACAAAACTACAAATACAGTACTGTACAAAGATGCAGTTTTAGTGTTCATATTTTATTTGATCATCATCTGTTCTTAAAGGCAAAAAAAAGAGTGGCTATCTATATGAACATATTTTCCTCTTTCTTTTTTTTTTTTTTTTTTAGTAAATGACATAGGGGATACAGTTAACAATATACGGTATCTCACACATCTATCTAAGGACCTTGCTGATTAATATCCCTGTAAATTATTTCAATGGAAGTTTGAGGATTTAGTACAAGTTGAACCTCTCCAATCCAGCACCCTTGGGACAAAACCAGAGAATTTTCCAAACTATGGGTGGTCAATATATTACAGACTACCAAAAATGATGGCTTTGATGTTTACCATAGCAATGGTACCCAACTGGAACGCTGGCTCTGCCTACCCCCGAGCAACAGGACTCCCTCACTCTGCTCAACCTGTTTCACTCCCTCTCTCAGCATGCTAACTCTTGCACACCATGAAATGTTTATTTCATTTGTTTTAGAACACACACACACACACACACACACACACACACACACACACACACACACACACACACACACACACACACACACACACACACACACACACACACACACACACACACACACACACACACACACACACACACACACACACACACACACACACACACACACACACACACACACACACACACACACACACACACACACACACACACACACACACACACACACACACACACACACACACACACACACACACACACACACACACACACACACACACACACACACACACACACACACACACACACACACACACACACACACACACACACACACACACACACACACACACACACACACACACACACACACACACACACACACACACACACACACACACACACACACACACACACACACACACACACACACACACACACACACACACACACACACACACACACACACACACACACACACACACACACACACACACACACACACACACACACACACACACACACACACACACACACACACACACACACACACACACACACACACACACACACACACACACACACACACACACACACACACACACACACACACACACACACACACACACACACACACACACACACACACACACACACACACACACACACACACACACACACACACACACACACACACACACACACACACACACACACACACACACACACACACACACACACACACACACACACACACACACACACACACACACACACACACACACACACACACACACACACACACACACACACACACACACACACACACACACACACACACACACACACACACACACACACACACACACACACACACACACACACACACACACACACACACACACACACACACACACACACACACACACAGAGAGAGAGAGAGAGAGAGAGAGAGAGAGTAATTTGGACGGAAAATCAATCCCAAAGCTGGAATTTTGCAAAAAATTTCCGGCTTTGGGAACATTTTCCGAGTTTGAAAATCGAGAGCATTTTCTGAAAATGTTTTGAATAAAGATGAGAGCTAAAGTATTTTGGGGGAGGGACCCGACCTGACCTGACTCAATGTCAGGTGGAGGTAGAGTTGGGGATTAGTGCTCTCATATTACTGACCTTCTGATGGAATGTCAGTGGTGGTGGTGGTGAGTGTTTCGTGGTGTTGGTGATGTGGTGGCGGTGCCACGAGTGTTGGTGGTGATAACGAGTGGTGGTGGTGGTACATGGTGTTGGTGATGAGTGTTGGTGGTGCTAAGTTTTGGTGGTGGTGAGTGTTTCTTGGTGGTGGTGAGTGTTGATGGTGGCGATGAGTGTTGGTGGTGGTGGTTGTGTCATGGTGATGATGGGTGTTGGTGGTGATAAGCATTGGTGGTGATGAGTTTTGGTGGTGATGAGTGTTGGTGGTGATGAGTGTTGTTGGTGCTGAGTGTTTCATGGTAGTGGTGAGTGTTGGAGGTGGTAGTGGTGAGTATTAGTGGTGATGAGTGGTGGTGAGTGTTGGTGCTGGTCAGTGTTGGTGGAGGTAAGTGTTGGTGGGTGTTGGTGATGGTGAGTGCTGGCAGTGGTGAGCGGTGGTTATTTATTTATTTATTTATTTATTTATTTATTTATTTATTTATTTATTTATTTATTTATTTATTTTTTATTTTTATTTATTTTTGGGTGGGGAATGGATGGAAGGCATGATGGGGCTCAAGACACAGCCAGGCATGAGGGATAGAGAAGTCACAACATATGGTCGTGGGGGAAAGGTTGGAAAAGAAGTTTAATGAGTTAAA